GGAACCGGGGATTGAACTCAGATCCTTGCATTTGCCAGTTAAGCGCTTATCCTACTGAGCCATCTCCCCAGCCCAAGCAAGCACTTTGGATAAGGATTTATAGATATGTAGATCCATCTATCATCTATCTATCTATCTATCTATCTATCTATCTATCTATCTATCTATCTATCTGTGTATCTATGCTTGATCTTAGCCAAAAGGCCATAAAACTGTGTGTCTTTAATACTAAAATTTTATGAGGGACTGCTAGCAATAAGGAAAAGAAAATCAGACTGCTTTTTAGAGGAATGATGATGAAAAGATTGAAAATTCTGATGCAGAGAATCCAGGAAGAGCAGGAGGCTGTGTAGTGTGGGTGAGTAGAAGATGCCAAGCTCAGAGCAGACCTTCTGCCAATAACAGTTGATGGTGGCATGTTAACATGGAATCCACGTGTCATTCATATCCACCCTACAGTGTTGACATTGCAAAAAATGAAAGACGGTAGCTGTTTAGTGCAGACAACTTCTTTCATAGACTCACTGACATGTATTTTTTTTAAGGGATTTAAATACCTGTACCTGACTCCCCAAGACTACACCAGAATCAGCTCCCTGAACTCTGTCCACTGCAAACACATTGAAGAAGGAGGAGAATCCAGGTAAGTGACTTCTCAGGTAGAGCCTTGATTATGTCCCTGACTAATTTCAGCCTGTACTGTGCGTGTGGGCTTTTTGCCCCCAGGCCTGTGGGGGTGGTGTCTGTACAACAGGGACACCTGAGCTTCCCTTTTTTTTGGCAGTACAGTGGACCCTTGAGTTATGGCTGACCTGACATACGAACAACTTGATGGATTATGACCAGAATTGTAGTTTTAATTTATGACCAGAGTCTTGAGCTAGACCCGGATGCTGGCCACTTGTGCTTCCCCTTGGTCTCAGACAGATTTAACTCTTACAGAGTTCTGGAAGGAACATGACAGCATACTTTCCTGTGTGGAGTTGATTGAGAAAGCCTGGGCCAGTGTCTCTCTAAGGACACTGAGACACACTCTGAAGGCTATGTAGAGGAGCCTGAGCCATCAGTTTACAACTTGAGTTACAACCAGCCCTCAAGAACGAATTGAATTTGCGAGCCAAGGGTCCACTACTGTGGATGGAGCTCACAGCTTCATGCATGCCAGGCAAGAGCTCGAGTGCTGAGCTCTATTCCTAGTTTTTCAATTTTATTTTGATATTTCATCTCATTAAGTAGCCTAGAGCTGGCCTGAAGTTGTCACACCTGTCTCAGCTTCCAAATACCTGGGATTATAGGTGATCTTAACTACATGTGATCTTCTATTTGGGGCACTGGTGACCAACATTTGGGATATTTTCCAGGGTGAACCTACCCTAGTCATCCAAAAATAAGTGACCCTTTTCTCACAATTAGTGAAGAAGTTGAATTGAATTCTTCTGATGTCCCAGGAGCTATTGGCTCACTTTTTCCAATCAAAATATCTGGACCTACACAGCCCTCATGTGGCAACTCAGGAAGGTCGGGAGGGTGGGGCACCGGCTCTGCTTTCTGGTGATATCAGAGGCTCTGGAATATTTTCTCCAATTTGCCAGTTGTGTTTTTCTTAGTGGGATCAACCAAATTGGAATTTTCCAGATGTGCTTTTTCTGGAGTGTTACAGGTATATAGGGCAACATTTTTTTTTCCTTTTAATTTCCATAGTCAAATGAGTTTGGGAAACACCAAGTTAAATGAAATCTCACAAGTGCCCTTCCTGCAGACCTTCACAGAGGTGCTAACACATGAAAGGGCTTTGTGAATTTTTAACAGGGATTCATTGGGCAGTGTTTCTCCTACTTAATGTAGCCATGGGCACTTGATTGATTGACTGATCATGAACTAAGTGGCTTCCCCTTGTGTGTCTCATCTCTTTTTTTTTGCTGATTAATAGGACATTTTCAATAATTATACATTGCACATTGTTATCTTCTCAGCGGCCATCCATAGCACAAGAAGCAGCCAGGACATCCCGTCCAAACACTACTACTACAAATCCTTCCTCTCACTGAACCAAGCGAAAGCAGCCATACATCTATCCTACCTATTTTGTATATACAAATACAAAATGGTCCTTCCTCTTTATCCCCCCGCTCCAGTTCAGTCCTGTCAGATATGGGTATTCTATTGGCATCTAAATATTATAGGTGCTTGAATTCAGCAAAACAATCCAACACAGTCCAGTAGCCTGCAATAGTAGTGGGTTATATCCACAGAAGTTGTTGACTAGAGCCTTTTACAGCTCAGCATATTAATATGGCTTTATTTTATATACCTTGTTTTTATACTTTTCTGCTGGATGGGTGTCTCATCTCTTGATAGGCCAGATGCTAGTCTACCCATCTCTCCTGGCTAGGAGAAGGATGGTGTTCATAGCTGATGCTGTATCAGACCTTTAAGAAACTTGAGCACCAGTGCAAATGAGGGGCTTAGATTCCTGATTGCTTTTTTTTCCTTCAGTATTAAGGACTGAACTCAGAGCCTTTATACTGAGCTACATCCTCAACCTCTATTTTTATTTTGAGAAGGGTTTCACTAAGTTGCTAATTTTCCAGGCTAGGCCCAAGCCTGCTATCCTCTTGCCTCTGCCTCCCACAATGCTGGGATTATAACTGTGGGCCACCGTACCTAGCTGTAGATCCCTGCTTCCATTCCTCCTCTGGCTGATATATCCCCTTCAGTTCTTTTCCTTGCTTGTCCCTCCTGCCTTGGTCCATGGGAAATGTACCTTCCTTGGTTTGTTGGGGCTAGTGTCGGGTCTTTAACTTAACACTTGCTTCTTGAAGGTACGTCATCATAGACATCATTGGGAAAGAGGACGGACTGGGTGTGGAGAACGTCAGGGGCTCGGGCACGATTGCCAGGGAGTCCTCCTTGGCGTACGATGAGATAGTCACCATCAGCATGGTGAGTCCTCTCCCATGTTCTTTCCTGTCCCAATTTTCTATTATGGGAACTTTAAAATATCATAGAAATAGGGAATTACTGTGGAGCTCTGTGCACCAATTACATGGTACCACCATCTGTCAACGTGGAATCCTCTCTATTTCTCAATCCTGCTTTATAGTATTTTAAAGCTATTCCTTGACCAGGTCTTTTCACCTTTCATTCTTTTTTTTTTTCCTTTTTTCATTTATGTATTTGGCACAGGATTTCACTATGCATCTTGGACTTGTAGTGATCCTCCTGTTTTCAGCCTCCCCAGCGCTGGGATTATAGGCATGTTCCACCATGCCTGGACTTGGTTTCCAGCTCAGCATGCCCTGGGGGTGGGACCAACATGGCATGCTGGACAGGGAATAGAACCCTGGTCCCTGCATTTACCAAAGCAGGCGCTTAGTCCTCTGAGCTATCTCGCCAGCCCTCACCTTTCATTCTTTCAGTGGACGTTTAACAAATTTTGGTGGTACTAGGGATCAACTGAGCCTAGGGGTTCTGTACCTCTGTGCAACGTCCCCAGCCCCCCTTTTTTCCTCTCTCTCTTTAAAATTCAGACAGCGTCTCATTAAGTTGCTCATGCTGTCCTAGAAGTTATATCCTCCTGCCTCATCCTCTCAAGTAGCTGGGATTATAAGCATGTGCCGCTGTGCCCTACATCCCCAGTCCCCTTTTTATATAAATGTAATTCCTTTAATATGGACATGAAAATGAGCAGTTTTTTCTAATATGATCAGAATCCACTTTGGTTTCAGTGTTATCGGTCATCTTACAGCTTTCCTTTTCAGGGTCTAATCTCTTATTGAGAAGTTTTAGCACATCAAAAGAGTGCACGGCAAGCATTAAATGGTTCTTTTTAATAGACCTTTTCAGGGTCTAATCTCTTATTTGTAGGTGTCAAGTGGAAGAACCTTTATGTGCCTTTAAGTGGCATGAATATCCCCAGCCCACCCCCGTGACCTTCCTCAAAATACTTTGTGTCTAGTAACAGCAGCAGCAGTGGTACTCTTTCATGATAAATGATCATTCAAGCCTTATTTTTTTACATGCACTGTTGACTCTTCACTTTCCATGATGGACATTATTAGGCATCAGTGTCTTTTCTCAGCTTGTTTTCTATACACATGCAACATATATGACTTTTAATTTTGAAATAGTTTAGGATCCACCAGAGTTTATAAGGCGGTGTGGAGAACTCCCAGCCCAGCTTCCCCCATGACAGCATCCTACCTAAGCAGGGCCCAAGCCAGGAAGTTAGTGTTAGCCCAATGCTGTCCATACAGTATAGGTCTTATTTGGATTTCACCAGTTTTTACATGCACTCCTAGACATGCTTTTGTTGGTGTAAAAAGCTGTGGTTTCTCTAATGTGACTAAGCTCAGAGGAACTACACACAAGCCTACACACGTCAGCATTTGCTGTTTGCCTTTGTAAATTATGTTCGCTATATTTTTTTATATATTTATTTGCTTCTATAATTTCATCCTCTGAGAAGTGGGCGTTCATCTCAGATTCCCATTTCTGGATTGGGTCTTTTAATTTTGGGGCTCTAATATTTTTTAGTTCTTTATAAATTCTAGAGAAAAGACCTTTGTCTAATAAGTTAAGATTTTTTCCAAATTTGTGAGTTGTCTTTTCACTTTGTAAGTAATTTCTTTTTTTCCCATAATTTTATTGATAAACAAATAGCAATGAGACAGTTTCAAATCAAACTGGTAGGACAGTTTCAATAATCAACACATTGCATACATTCTTCCCAGTGGTTAATTGCTGTACAAGATAGTAATTTCTTTTGACGTACAAAAACTTCTCAGTAAGAGTTGGTCCCAGTTGTCAATTCTTCCAAGTGCTAACCATGTGATTTGATTTTTGTTCATGAACTGTTTGCCTACTCCTATGTCTTCAAGAGTTCCTCTTACTTTCTTTTCCAGGAGATTTAGTGTTTCTGTTTTAATGTTTAGATCTTTAATCCATTTTAACTTTAACTTAGGGCATGGTGATAGACCTGGATCAAGTTTTAGTTTTCAGCATGTAGAGAGCCAGTTTTTCCAGCACCATTTGTTTAAAAGGCTATTTTTCTTCCAGTGAGCATGTTTGGCCCTTTTGTCAAAGATAAGGTGCCTGAGGACCAGGGAGATGGCTCAGTGGAATAAGCGCTTCCCTGGCAAGCACAAGGGCCTAAGTTCAATTCCCAGTTCCACAAAAAAAAAAAAAAAGATAAGGTGGATGAGTATGTTTTTAGTGGCTTCTACATCTTCTAATCTATTCCATTGATCCTCAGGTCTGTTGGCCATAATTTTTTTTAATAGAAAACTGCATTACACAGCTTTCTGTCACTATAACAAGATATCTGAGGTAACTAGCTTATTAAAAAAAAAGTTTATTTTGGCTCATGGGTTTGGAGGATCCAGCGTTATTGCTTTGTCTGTGACAAGGCAACACAGCATAGTAAGAACATATGGTGGACTAAAATAGATCACCTCATGGTGGCTAGGAAGCCAGAGAGAGAGAGAGGGAGGGAGGGAGGGAGGGAGAGACAGACAGACAGACAGACAGACAGACAGACAGACAGACAGAAAGAGAGAGAGACAGAGAGTCAAGGACACACCCCAGTGACCTAAGGACCTTCTATGGGTTCCCACCTCTTAAAATTTCCCCCACTCCCCATGGTGCCCACCTGGGGACCAAGCTTGAAGTACGTGGGCCTTTAGGGGCCACTTAGGACCCAAGTAATAGTAGAAGCCAAGCTCCAACAAATCGCTTTTTGCTCTGCCCTCTGTCCTTAAGTCCAGTTGCCATTGACTAGGAAACCTTCCATTTGTGGAATACAGCAAGCTCCCTATCTCCACAGGTGACCTGCCGCTCCCTAGGCATTGGGGCCTATCTGGTGAGGCTGGGCCAGCGGGTGATCCAGGTGGAAAACTCCCACATCATCCTCACGGGAGCACGTGCTCTGAACAAGGTGACCAGGGCCGGGCCCTTGGGGAGGATTTGTGGGGACTGGGGACCCTTTTAGCATTGTCATCTAAGTGGGGAGGATTTTTCCCAGCATGAAACCAGTTTCATTCCTACTGATGTAGAAGCGACTTTTCCTATTTGCAGTTCCTCTTTAAGAACTGCCATAAAACAAGTTTTAAGCTCTTTGGATGGAATGAGCTCTTTCACATTTTAAAGAAGTTACCAGAGTGGTATTATACTTTGTGGGAAACTAAAAAGGATCTTGCAAAGTAGTTTTCGTTTCCGTGATTTTGTTGTCATCTCCTCTCCCATTCCATTTTTCCATGGTTAATTCAGTAGCTTATTTTTTTTCTTTCTCTGCTAAAACATCACCTATGTTGCTATAAAGTTTGTTTGTTTGTTTGTTTATTTATTTATTTATTTACTGGTACTGGGGATTGAACCCAGGGTTTTTGCACTGGGCCACATCCTTAGACCTTTTTTAAAAAATTTTTTTGAGACAGGATCTTACTGTCTTTGAGGTTTCCACAATGAGCTCAAACTTGCAATCCTGCTGCCTCAGCCTCCCAGAGTGCTGGGCCTGTAGATTTTCAGCACTCCACTCAGCTGAGTCTCCACTTTAAATATCTGCTGGAAGCCCACTGAGAGTGCTAAGTCTTGCCCTAGCTATGTCCACGTCACTGAAGGACTTGTCAGAGATGCACACACCCAGGCCCTCAGAACTTTCCAGATTGCCGAAGTCATCAGCTGCAGCATTACTGAGTCTCAGCTTGGGGTGCATATTGGAAATACCTAGAAATTTGAAACCAGCAACACCTAATGGTTCTTATGAGATCCGTCTGGGTGTAGCCTGCGTGACAGGATTCTCAAAAGCTCCCAGGTGATTTTGGCCCGCAGCCCCTGAATGAGCTGATTTCCAACAGTGGACGGGCCTCGAACTGGGTAAGATTCACTAACCATGTTATTATATCCAAGCAGGTCTTGGGAAGAGAGGTCTACACATCCAACAATCAGCTAGGTGGTGTGCAGATCATGCACTACAACGGCGTCACCCATGTCACTGTCCCGGACGACTTTGAGGGAGTGTACACCATCCTGGAGTGGCTGTCCTATATGCCAAAGGTGCACTGTCCCCACTGTAGCTTAGAGCCTTGGAGGCTCTGCTACCAAGTTCATTTGTTAATTGTGTCCCTGTCACCTCAGTCGGGTGGGAGGGTGGGGGCTCCAGGGGCACTATAAATGTGGTCAGGATTAGTTTCACTTCTTCTTCCTCCCCTCTCTGACACCTGGCTCTGGATTAGCTGTTCTTGCATTTTTGGTGACCTGGATGTCATCCTGAAAAGAGAAAGCCATCTGTTGATCCTGTCAAAAGGGTAAACAGAGGCAACAGTGGACAACAGAGAACCTACCCCATGAGCATGGCCCCTGTTACCACTATCTGTGGTCAGTCCCTTTTTTTCTTTCTTTCAATTCATGGTTTATTTGCCCTTCTGGCACAGTAGCTATCCTTTCAGACTTCCTTTCATATTCCACCATCTTTGAATGGTGGAATGGCGCTTGGCCCCTGAGGGCACTGTGGACTTGAAAGCCTAGAGCTCAAGAGAATCCATGGGTAGCCTTTCTGTGGCATTTTCCAACCAGAACAGTGATTGAGATACTCTGTTAGAAGATTGCTAACATTAGACTTAAGACATAACATAATTGCTCACATGGAGGATATGGCTGCATACTCAGGCAGAATCATAGCCAGAGAAGAAAAATATGCAAGCAGATCATAGACCTAACTGACAAGTCCTGGAGACTGAGTTGGATTCCTGGCTTTGTCTTCTAGGATATTCACAGCCCACTCCCCATCATCACACCCACTGACCCTGTTGACCGAGAAGTTGAGTTTTTTCCCTCCAGAGCTCCCTATGACCCCCGGTGGATGCTTTCAGGAAGACCTCACCCAAGTAAGTCCTCAAGTGTTTTGTAGGGAATGGATGATGTAGGTTGCTTTTCTAGGTCTGAGATAAAGGACTACTTAGAAAGAGGTACTGTTTTTTGATGCCATATTCCTGAAAAGTACACTTGAGCTCAAACGCAGGGGAGGGAGGGAGGGAGGGATATTTTAGTCTATGTCCTCCCTGAGCCTTTGACTAGCAAGGGTTGCACACAGCTCCAATTTCTGGAGCTAGCAGATGGAGGTGAGGCCCTGGTCATACAGGTGGGAAATGTGTGAAAATGTTAAAGCTTCCAGCCCTCCATCTTTCTCAGCTTCTCTTTGGCTAAACCAAGGAGATACTGTGAGTTTCCCAGGATGGACACCTGGGCCCCTCCCACATGCAAGAACCTGGGAGCACATTCTGTCTCATCATTCAGAAAGGGATGGGTTTGCCTTATTAAATTCTGAGCAAGACGAACAGGCCAGAAAACTGAGCTGCCCCATTACCATGTCCCAAGTCTAGAATTGCACATGTTGGTGGCCTCTGTCTCCTTTGAAAAATGTTGGGCCTCCTTACGAACAACTTTCTCCATGGTGTGGGGTCAGCTGTGAAGACGGTGCTGGAGGGGCCGATTCACTTGTGGCCTCCCACACATGTCATTTGAGACACTCCCTGCTACTCGTCTTTTTCTCCTTTGAATAACTATGCCCAGTTATGCCGGGCTCTGGGTTGAAGCTCCTGTGTCCCCTCCAGCCATAGCTGTGGTTGACATCTCCACATCCCACCTCTCTGGGAAGTTGAGGACTTTCCTCCCAGTTCAGTTGCCAGCAGGCCTTAGATGAGGTCTCAGGGGCAGCAGTCCCTTCCTGAAGTCCCACCTTGTGGGAGACAGGTATCAGCTCTCCTGTCTCTTGGGAAAGATAGCAGGACCGTGTCTCAGATCTTAGTGTCCTTGGCCTTGACAGGCAGCTGGAGGGAGGCAGATGCTCCATAAGGACTGAATTTCTGATGCAACAGTTTTTACAGCCATATTCTCCCTTTGTTTTGTTTTGAGAGAGAGGTTGAGATCTGCTTGATTTTAGGGAGGAAAGAATTAGGGCCACGGGGTCTAGCTAAGCTCATTCTTAGGGTGATCTCCCAGCCATAGGGGTCATGAGGGCCTCACCCACCTCACAACCTGAGCGCTGCCTTCTGCCCACAGCTCTGAAGGGAGCCTGGCAAAGCGGATTCTTCGACCAGGGCAGTTTCAAGGAAATCATGGCACCCTGGGCCCCGACCGTGGTGGTAGGACGAGCCAGGTAACCCTGAAGATGGGAGTGGGCCACCCACGCCTGGCCTCAGTGGGCATAGAACTCTCTGGCACTAAACCCCAGGGCTGTCCGGAACATTTTTTTCTCAGACCTGGGTTTTCCTGAAAGCAAGAACCAATTGGGAAAGGCTTTTCTGGACAACAAACCATTGTATAAAGTCTGTACCTGACTGTCTGTGGTTTTATGCGGCTTTTCAGCCAACTACTGCTGGACAGGGACCCTCGCCCTAGCGGCCCTCCCTATGCCCTGTGGGACTCGGTAGGTGGCTCTGGGTGCCTGCCCAGAAGACTGTAGGTGTTGAGCTGTGGGAGTTCCATCTCAGGTGCCGGATTGTGCTCCACCACTGGCAGAAGGCTTAATTGCTTGAACACTTCCAGAGCCGAAGAGCTCACTCTTTAGCAGCACAGCTCTTGATTTTTCTAAGGCTTCAGCTGCTAGGAAGTTCTCCTGCACTGAGCCCAAAGCAGTGTCAGACAAATTACCACCCAGAGCCCTGGCCCGGCATCAGAGCTATAAGCGCAGGTACTGGAGTTGACCCTGACTTCCAGCCACCCTGGCTTGGTCCCGCATCCCCTCTGGGCCTGTGTGCTCATCTGGAAAGTGGGGGTGATGATTCTACCCCCAAAGAGTTACTGTTAAGCGCTTAAGACATCACTGAGCGCTCACTAAGTCACGGTGGCTGCACTCATCATTTATTCCCTGAGTAATAAGTATTGAACTCCTAAACATACTATTGGCCCTGAGATGCTTTCTCTATTTATAAAACCTTTTTTTTTTTTTTTTTTGCGGAAACAGGGATTGAACTCAGGCCCTTGCACTAGCCAAGGAAGTGCATATTCCACTGAGCCATCTCCCCGGCCCCTATAAAACCTTTTAAATAAGAAGCTGAGGGCTG